GTGTCAGATGCCCTCCCAGATGTTGTGGTGTGTGTGGATAAACACGGCAGGAGAATGGACCTTGTCACTTATAGAAACAATCAGGGGAAAAAAAAAACATTTCTGGATATGTGGAGGACACGGTCTCTTTCTCCGTGTGACAGAGGGACATGTGTTTGAGACTCGCTCGAGGCTCTAGTCTGGACCTGGAGCAGACCTCAGGACAGACTGGACCAGACTCTAATTTGACTGAACATTCTGCACTGCTAAACTTTTTTGTATATTTATGGAGAATTGTCGTGTGGGAGCATGGGTGACGTAGACTTGTGGGTGGAGCATTGGACAGAATCTTACGGCTGGTGTAAGGAGGGTTTGAATAGGGAGAGATCCAGCGCCGATGTCTGCGGGATCCAGATGGCTGCCTGCCTACACTGGGTTATTTCCACACCCCCACCCTACCCAGTTCCTAGTCCTGTGGAAATGTTTGTACTGTGCTTTGACTCTCTGCTCATGTCGCGGAGGTGTTGTTGTTTTATTGTGTACTCTGCCATACTATGCTCCAATAGGTGCATGGTCTGGGGGTGTTCCTCTTTTTTTTTTCCTCCTCCCCATATCCTCATGTTTGCTGCATTGTTTATTCATATTTTCTCCCTGTGTCCTGGTCTGGTCCTTATCTAGTTTCCCCATGTCATATTGGATTGTGTGTTTGTAATGTACAGACAGGGTAACAGGTCCAATTTTGATTCCTTTGTATGTTCAGTACATGTGAAGAAATTGGCAATAAAGGCCATTATTCATTCAGTAGATTACTCACACATGTATGGATGACATTTCAAATCTCTTCAGGCATGGACTTGATGAAGGAACAAAGTTATAACATGGTGGAAAGCTAAAGAAAAAGAATGATTTTGCATAAATAATACCACCTCTTTAAAGACACACCATGTTACTTTTCCCGTGTAGAGTCCACCACCTGCTTGTTTCTGTGGAGATGGTATTGCAATATTCCACAATATGGCATTAAACATATCTAGCTAATATCTATTTATCTGCCAGTACAGGGGTTTTATTGCTCAAACTTGAAAAAACATGTATTTGTTCTGATACAGCTCAAGATCATTCTAAAGCTATTCAAGTAAAGGTTCATTTCTGTCCTGTGATTGTGACTTTTTTAGTCTTGATACTTGTGAAAAATGAAAATCCAGTTTTGATACTAGGTTTAGTATCGATTAGCATCAGATTTTTGATTCTTTTGACAACCCTTGAACAAACACTACTTCTGCTATTACTGTGTTTAGAAGTAAAAATCACATTAGTGACTTTAGCCCCCCCTGCAGTTTGATGTGGTCTTGCTAATGTCCGTCAGTGCTCCTTTAATGACTCCCATAAAGCTGCATTGATCTCACTTCCAGTCTGTGTAAGTTTAAATATAGTCTGTCTGTATCCGAGTGCGAGTCAAAGTGCCTCTGACTGCCTCTGATCTCTGCTTTGGGCAAATACACTTTTATCAGCTTCATCTGAACGCCACAGCTCAAAACAAGGACTTTTTCATTTGGTTTAAAGGATGCTTTGATACTTTGAAGCTGATGTCATCAACTTTCCCAGGGGTGTGAAGCTAACTGGAGGCACTGCTCTGTCTGAAGCTCTGTTAGACTTTAATCTGAGTTTTATTTCAACACAATCTGACCATGAGGAACTTCACTGGAGCTACAACAGATGAGCAGATTTGTGCTGTGAAACAAGTCCCTCAAATTACACATTGCAAACTAGCTAGCATTAACCAACAGTTTTTCAGTGTTCAGTCACTTTCACCTTTTTGCTGCAAGTCATGTTCGTGTTCACGTTCACATTCATGTTCATCTTTATGTTCATGTTCATGTTCATGTTTATGTAAGGCTGTGCAATTCATTGAATTTTGATCGCGATTTCCATTTGTGTAACAAACTCACATAATCGAGTTGAAATGATTTACAAAGTTTATTTTGGGATACACATACAAGCTACATACTTTATGTGTAGCCTATATTTATTTTCAATTTGAAAGTTTTGTGTAAATAATCAATAACAAAGCGTTTTTGTTTTTTTAGAGAGAGAAATGCTAAATAAATGCATCATGTAACTAAAAACTAATCATATGAGTAATCGTGATTTCAATATTGACCAAAATAATTGTGATAATGATTTTTTTTTCCTTAATCGAACAGCTCTATGTTCACGTGTTTTGATTTGGTCAATGTTTAACTCATTACAGTCTACATACATTATATTCAATCTGATGTCATAAAATAAAATATATTCAGTGTAGAACAATCAAATGAAACACTGAGTAAGTCAGTGAGCAGGTGTAGGCAGAAGCTGAAGCTTATTGTGCCTCCGCTTATCTCCAACTACAGCACGTTCATGGACTTTCATCTCAAAATTAATATGACATTAATACGTCATCATAATGAAAAATCAACAATTATTCTAATTATAACAAAAAATATCTACTAACGTTATTCTTTCACATATTTTTCTGTTGCTATTCTCTTAAAAGTTATTTTGAATTAAAAAAGAGAATTTGGTTTGTTTTAGTTGCTTGACAGTTGCTCGTTTGCTTGATAAACAGTGTGCAGCCTGTGGAACACACATGTACCTCTTAGATTATATTTACTGTCTCTCTGAGTGAACACTGCCTGCAAAGAAAGAGCAATTTGATAGGACATTTGATAGGATGAACAATGAGTTCTGGGTGCATGGTTCAAGAGTCTAATGGCTTTTTTTGCAGTAGAAGGACTGGATTAGTTTTAGATTTATATGTGTTTCCCCAAATTTCAAGGCCATATTCTTCATTCAACATTCTAGGTAAGGTGTGATGATGAGAGAACAATAAAGTTGATGCAATGCATTTTTATTCAGAATATACCGTCATTTATTTATTTATTTCTTCTGTTGTATGGAGTGTGTTTACATGCACATCAGTATCCCGGTTATTCTCCATATCCCGGTTCTGTCAGTGTTCGTGTTACTGTGTTTACATGCGCACTGAGAAACCGGGACACTCATATCCCCGTATACATGATCAAATGGAGTATCCCGGTTTCTTGACATAATCTTACAAATGCGCAATCACAAAAATGTACTTAAATCAATTTAATAAACCAGGAAAAATACAAACCGTGAGCTCCTTTAGCATAAGAAGCTAAGGAGCTACGAGATCTCCCACAATCCACTGCACACATCAAACCAACAGATTCTTCATTAAAATCTTCTGCATAAATAAACTCAACTTTACAACATATAAACCATAACCACTGTAGAGCCACATCAGCCCGTTTGATCAGATCATTCAGCTCTGATCACATTTGTTTACGTTTTACAGAAACGAGACTTAAGACCGCATCGCTAATTAGCATAAACTGTGTTGATAAAAACAGCTGCTCCTTGTGCCGCTGATGTGGTTCAGCTTCTTTTGGACTAAATGACACGACTCAGTGGATTATGTGTGTTCTTTTTGTGACAGAAGAGGTGTTAATGGTGGTAAGTTTGTTCTGTTCGTATACAGTACAGGAGATAGTTCATGTTTTAGCTTTTCAGTGATCACACGAGTGCACGTTATACGAGTGCAGATTGTACATGTGCAGGTTTAGCGCAGCTACATTTTACTCATGTGGTCACTTTATTTATGTTGGTCACTTTATTTATGTTGGTCAGTTTATTTATGTCGCTACTGTTGTGGTGAAAAGACTGGAAAGTGGGCGGCAGTAGTTCAGTTGGTAGAGCATTCACCCACTGATCTGAAGGTCGGCGGTTTGAATCCCACTCTCAACATGAACATCACAGGTTGAGCGGTCAGATCCACTGACCCACAGGTTGGCTGGTGTGATTCTAGCTCCCACAGATGAATGCTGCTGTTGTGTCCTTGGGCAAGACACTTAACCCACCTTGCCCACAGTGTCTGCATACACTGGTGTGTGAATGAGTGAGTGGTTCCTTGTTGTAAAGTGCCTTGAAGGTGGAAAAGCGCTATAGAAAAATGTGACCATTTACCAAGTGTGCACTCAACTTTATGTTGCAGTAACCGGGTACTGCGTTTACAAGTATCCCGGTTACTATCGGAATAAACCAGCTGCAGTAACCCGGTTTCTAATAACCGAGATACTGAAACCGGGTTACTGCGTTACCGGGTTACATGCACCATGAAGAAACCGGGATACTCAAAAAACCCGATCATAACCAGGTTATTGATGTGCATGTATACGCACTCCATGTAATCACTCCAAGAAATGTGATATAATGTACCTTTTCTATTTCATGTTCATTCATTTTAATTTAATATCATTCTTTATTTTGTTATTACTAAATATCAGAAATTTCATTTTGTCAAGATTTACTGATCATTTATTTAAATCAAACCAACCAAAAAACACCTAAACAGGACTGTGAACACTTTTAATCATCACAGGCTCCTGAAAATGTACTGTTTAAATCCATTTTGCATTTTTTCTTGAGGTTTGAGGTTTGAGTGTTTGCGTGATTCTGTATTTTCCTACATTTGAGACGTCAGAGTTCAGAAAATTACTATTTGTTCATCTCAAGTCCCCACCTGCATCTCTCTTCTTACTGATAAATCCAAATTTAATTAGGTTTAGTAACAGTGACTCAGTGGGTAGAGCACTCGTCCACAAGTAAGAAGGTCAGAGGTTTGATTCCCGCTCAGACCAGATTCACAGATTGGCAGCCTTGTCTCCATCAGTCTGTCCCAGGGCAGCTGTGGCTATTTGCTTACATTACTGAGTGTGAAGTCAATGAATAATTCCAATGTAGAGTTTTGAGAAGCTTTGAGAAACCTGTTAATCACTTGTAGGGTCACTTGCTTGTCTCAATGGAAATAGGTAGGGTTAATGCCATATTGTGGAACATTCTAGGCAAACTTGTAGTATCACCATGGAGACAAGCAGGTGGCAGACCCTCCATGAGACAAGTGTTGCGTTGCAGCTTTAGGACGTTCTTTGAGCTGTTGTGTGTGTTGTCTTCCGCAGAGACGAGCTTCCTGTTGGGGAACGCTCAGATCGTGGAGTGGCCCGTCGTCTATAGCAACGATGGATTCTGTAAACTGTCGGGGTTCCACAGGGCAGAGGTCATGCAGAAGAGCTCCACCTGCAGGTACAAGCACGCAACTGCAACACACAAACTGTAACATCAACTGACAGGAGTGAACCAGAAATAAACCAGGACTGAACCAGAAATAACCAGGACTGAACCAGGATTGAACCAGGACTGAACCAGTACTAAACCAGGATTAAATCTGAATAAACCAGAGCTAAACCAGGACTAAACAAGGACTAAACTAGGGCTAAACCAGAACTAAACCAGGATTGAACCAGGACTGAACCAGGATTGAACCAGGACTGAACCAGGACTAAACAGGGACTAAACCAGGGCTGAATCAGGACTAAACCAGTACTAAATCAGGACTGAACCAGAACAAAACTAAGGCTCTAATTGAGCTAAACCTATAGTAAATCAGGTTTAAGACAGGACTAAACAAACAAAAAACAAGGTCTACATCAGGTCTAACCGAACACTAACTAGGACAAAATCAGGACCAAGGCAGCACTAAACCAAAATTACACAAGGACTTAATTAAGACTATAGGACCAAAACAAGAACTGTGTAGATTGTTCTACAAATGTACAAATATAGAATCACTTTTTGTCGCTAACTTCCCCAAAATTTAAATAAAACAATAGTACTTTTGTCGTGTGGGATTCTGAGGCTGTTTCGGCGACACTTTTATGAATTCCACTTGAAATGGTGCCATTAAAAACACATTATGCTGAAATGGGGCCTGAGGCACAATCTGTGAGTAACTGAATACACTGTCATATGTGATGTATGTGAGTCTGCACTGAGGCAAGGCTCTGTTTAATAAGACCAAGTCAAAATCACAATTAAACCAAATGTGGGAAAAACACATTCAGTTTTCATTTCACCCAGTCGTAATTTATTTGTTTATTTTTTATAATGATAATAAAATTGTCATTATTGTATTTAGCTTTGTTGATACTTTTGTATTTGTTTATTGTTGTAAAGTGAAGTTGAGTGTCCAGAAAGGCGCCTCATAAATAAATGTGTTTATTCAAGAGGAGGTATTTTACTGCTATGGGGTATAAACCAGTGGCGGAGCGTGCATTTAACACCTAGGCCTTCAGTAATGCTCTGTCTGTAACAATCCACTCCTCAATAACTATTTTATGGTTATAAAAGTATCTTATTATACAGAAACACAGTATAAAGAGCCGTGGAGATTCTGTGCATGGAGAAGTGAGGAGGGGGGGTGTGCGGTGCACGAAAAAGAAGTGAAGAGCGACGGGGTGCTAAACCAGGACTAAACCAGAACTAAAGCAGAACTAAACCAGGACTGTTTGTCGGGACTGGCCTGAAGGTGCGCCCACAGTCTACATGGGCTACTGTCGGATGACCGCAGACGAAAGGGCTGCGCCGGGGCCAGTGCTCCGAGCTGCACGGGGCTCAGTGCAGCTGTCGCCCGATTGCGCTTTGCAGATACTCTCTCTCTTGCTCTCTCTCTCACTCAAGTCCAGTTTAGGTTTAGTCCTGGTTCTGCTACAGATACAGTTTGCTGCTTTGGCTGGTTCACTCTCTGACTGTCCAATCACTGGTGAATCCGGTGACGTCTTGCGCCTGCTAGAAGGCCCTGGTGATACCAACTCAAAATCTGATTGGGAAGCAACAGTTTCATGGACATTTATTTTGTGTTCAAGAGCCTGCAGAGCAGATTGTGAAGGCCTCAGGGACACTTCTTTGACTTTGACTCTGCCTAGCATCAAGTGACGGCTGAAATGTGATTGGTCAAATGCTTTAATATGAAAATACATGTGTGGAAGCAGCACAAGCATCAGAAAAGCCCTGGAAGCGGACAGACCATTTGGAATTATTTAATAATAATATAATTAACATCAGTCTGTGATTCAGATATTGTTTTAGGCCAGCAGAGAAGGCCCACCACTGGTATAAACTGCTAACCCATAACATATTTAGATCACCATGTTACCTTTTATTGTTTTGAAAATGTTATATTTACCGAAAAACAACATAGTAACATGTATTATAAGTTTGACTTTTATATGATTTTTAATTCTCTGAGTCTTGTTCTTGTTTACTGTGTCCTAAGTGTAATTTCTCACCTGTTTTGTTTTCACCTGTTTCTTTCTCCTCAGCTTCATGTACGGCGAACTCACCGATAAAAAGACCATTGACAAAGTGCGTGAGGCGTTTGATAACTACGAGTCCGACTGCTTTGAGATCCTGCTGTACCGAAAGAACCGTGAGTCACTCCTCTGTGTCTGTGGGACGAGTTCAGACTGAAAAAGCTGCATTGTGTAACTTTTCAAGTGGAGGGTCTGTCAGACACTTTTCTCCATGGAGATATTAGATGCTGGAATGTTTCACAGTATGGCATTAAAGCTTTTTATCTTCATGCAGACCAAACCAGACCAAGTTACAGGTCAGGTCTATGGAGAGGCGACCCCGCTCACAGTCAGAATGTCTGTTTTCGAGGCATTTTTCAGCTGTAAAACCACCTGTAACTGAATAAATGTTAAGTAGGGCTGTTTAATGTCATACTGTGGAACATTTCAGGCAGAGCAATGATGTATCCATAGAAACAAGCAGGTGATGGACCCCCAAGCACAAAGTTAAACAGTGTACCTTTTAAATAAATCAAATCAATTTAAGGGCCAATATTACATTTATATTATATTATATTAGTTCTTCTGTCAAACTGAAAACGCTCTGTTCCACCTTGTGATGTCATGTGGTTATACAGAAATGCTCCACTGTTTTTTTAAGATCCACACACCTTCACTAGAATCATTTGGGTCATTTCAGCCCTGGAATTCCTGACATCTGAAAAAAGTAAAAGTCGCTGTGAACTTGAATACTACCACTACATGACATCACGAGGTGGAACAGAGCATTTTGAGCTTTGGGGATGCAGACAGACTAATACACTAGGATTACTCAAACGTGTGAATGAAACAAAACACAACACTGGGTCTGTTTTAAAACTACAGGACACAGTTGAAGATAAAAACAAACACAATTTAACGAGTGTGTTATTTCAGCACCATGGACAGCTCCACCGAGAAGGGTTGAGAGTTTTGGGTGTTGAAGGGCCCATTTCATGCAAAATCAACTTTTCAGAGCTTTCTACCTTCTAAGAGTGATGTGTGGGCCTTGTATATGTCACTGAAGTGGTTTTTTGATTGATTCGGTGTTTTTTTTTTTTAAACAAATTGCAGCGTATTTCTGCCACCCTCCCACGTGACAACGAACTAAAGCTGCTCCAACGATGACGCGGCAGCTACACCTTTGACGCGTTTGACGTAGCAGAAAACGCTTCACAACATGGGCAGGTTTTGTTATGTATTTGGTTGTTCTAGACGCTCTGAACGGGATAAAACAAATCGTTTCTTCACTATTCCTCTGGAAATTACTCATCAGGAGCTCAAACAAGGGAATTATCGAAAAAAAGACGCGGATTACGACTAGCAAAAATAAACCACGAAGAGATTTCCTATTGTACCATCAAGACACATGAAGTTTCATCAAGATATTTGCTATTTAAATTGTTTCATACTTTATTTAATGAAAGAAGCACATTTACTGAACTAAAATTTCATAAATTTATCCAGAAAAACCCACACTAGTTTATGATTCAACGAACCCACTTTGGACTCTTATGATCAACATGATGAACCTCGAAAGAAACGGCCATGAAAAGATCCTTGCGAACGTTAGAAAGATCTGCTCGCAAAAAGTGATTAATTCTATAAGACATAGTTGTGGTAATAAAGAAAACAAGGGTCCCACGATGAGTGACATGTTTATATGTGCGCTGGAAGATGCAGTTTCTACTGCCACTCACACTGCAAATGTTTTCTTTTTACATTTTAGTTCAGTAAATGTGCTTCTCTCATTAAATAAACTATGAAACTATTTAAATAGCAAATACCTTGATGAAAGTGACGTGAGTGTGTCTTGATGGGACCATAGGAAATCTCTTCGTGGTTTATGTTCTCTAGACATAATTCCCGTTTTTTTGTTTTTTTTTTTCCGATAATTCCCTTGTTTGATCCTGATGAGTCATTTCCAGAGGAACAGTGAAGAAACGAATCATTTTATCCCTCTCAGAGAATCTAGAACAACCAAATACACAACAAAACCTGCCCATGTTTCTCTGATGCTGCTGAAGTCAATGACATAGTGTTGCCTGGTGTCATGGCGACGTAGGTACCGTTGCTATAGGGGTCACATGACGGTGCAAAGCCTCTATAGTGTAATGGATGTTCCAAAACCCAAATAGTGCTTGTTTATGTGCAGAAGATACAACGTGAAAGAGTTATTTTGCATCAGATGGACCCTTTAAAAATTCACTCTCTCTTCTCTTATGTAATCAAAGCAACCTAATTACTCACTACGATGGATTTATAAGCATTTTGAGAGACCAAAGCTGCTGACGGTGGGCCTGCTTTGTGGCTGATAATGCTTTTAATTAAGACGCAGCTAGCTCCCAGTCACACATACATTTAATGAAATATTCAAACTGTAAACAATAAATCCTTCCAAACATGTCTGAAATACTCCCATCAAAAGGTTAAATTCTGAATTTAAACAATTTAAAGTTTTTGAGACAGCAGCTCCCACTCTCCCCCTCTCAAAGCTGCTCTTCTCTCTGTCTTTTCACCCGTTCTCTCTCTCCTTTGTCATTATCTCCGTATAATTCTTACCCCAAGCTGTTCCCTCCCTTTCTCTCTCTTTCCCTCCTTCTTTCTCTCTTTTTCTCTGTCCACCTGTTTATCTTTACTGCTCTGTCCATTCTTTCCCTCTTTGTCTTTGTTCTCTCTTTCCCTCCTCTTCGTCTTTCTGTCTTTCTTCTGCTCACCTGTTTATCTCTCTCTTTCTGTCCCTTTTCACTCTTCCCTCTCTCCTTCCCGCTCTCTCTGCCTTTCACTCCCTTCTCTCCATTTTCTATCTCTCTGTTTCTTTCTTTCTACTCCTGCTTCCTCTCTTTCTCTCCTCTCTCTTTTTTGTCCCTCCTCTTCTCTTCTCCTCTCTATTTCATTCATCTCTCTCTCTCTCTCTCTCTCTCTCTCTCTCCTTCTCACCCTTTATGTCTTTCCCTCCCTTCTTTCCCATTTTCTATCTCTGTCTTTTTTTTCCTGTTCATTCTCTATCCAATTCTCTCATTCTCTCCCTCTCTTTGTCCTCTCTCTTTCTTTCTCTCCTCTCCCTCTTTCTGTCGCTCTCTTTCCTCTGCCCACCTGTTTATCTCTCTCTCTCTGTCCCTTCTCTGCTCTTACCCTCTCTTTCTTTTCATTCTTCCCTCTCTCTCCTTCTCGCTGTCTCTTTCTTTCGCCCCCTTCTCTCCCATTTTCTATCTCTCTGTTTCTTTCTTTCTGTCCCTGCTCTGTCCAATTCTCTCATTCTCTCCCTCTCTTTGTCCTCTCTCTTTCTCTCCTCTCCCTTTCTCCCTCTCCCTCTTTCTGTTCACTCTCTTTCCTCTGCCCACCTGTTTATCTCTCTCTCTGTCCCTTCTCTGCTCTTTCCCGTCTTTCTTTTCACTCTTCCCTCTCTCTCCTTCTCGCTCTTTCATTCTGCTCCTGCTTCCTCTCTTTCCCTCGTCTCTCTTTTTTGTCCCTCTTCTCTCTTTCTTTCTTTCTTTCTTTCTTTCTTTCTTTTCTTCTCTTTGTCCTCTCTCTTTCTATCCCTCCTCTGCTCTTCCCCTCTCTCTTTCTTTTCACCTGCTCTCTCTCTCTCTCTCTGTCTCTCTCTTCACTCACTCTCTCTTTCACCCCCTTCTCCCACATTTTCTATCTCTCTGTCTCTTTCTTCTACCCTGTCCCTCTCTTTGTCCTCTCTCTTTCTCTCCTCTCTCTTTCTATCTCCCCTCTGCTCTTCCCCTCTCTCTTTCTTTTCACTCTTCCCTCTCTCTGTCTGTGTTTCTCCTTCTCACTCTCTCTGTCTCTCTCCCTCTCCTTCTCACCCTTTATGTCTTTTCCTCCCTTCTCTCCCACTTTCTATCTCTCTGTCTTTTTTTCTGTTCATTCTCTATCATATTCTCTCATTCTCTCCCTCTCTTTGTCCTCTCTCTTTCTCTCCTCTCCCTTTCTTTCTCTCTCCCTCTTTAGCTCATTCTCTTTCCTCTGCCCACCTGTTTATCTCTCAATTTCTGTCCATCCTCTGCTCTTCCCCTCTCTCTTTTTCACCCTTCAATCTCTCTCTCTCTCTCTGTCTCTCTCCTCACTCACTCTCTCTTTCGCCCCCTTCTCCCACATTTTTTATCACTCTGTCTCTTTTTCTCTACCCCCTCCCTCTCTTTGTCCTCTCTTTCTCTTCTCTCTTTCTATCCCTCCTTTGCTCTTCCGCTCTTTCTCTCTCCTCGCACTATTTCTTTCTCCCTCTTCTCCCACGTTTTCTCTCCGTCTCTTTCTTTCTGTCCCTGCTCTATCCAATTCTCTCATTCTCTCCCTCCTCTCCCTCTTTTTTGCTCTCTCTTTCCTCTGCCCACCTGTTTACCTTTCTCTCTTTGTCCTTTCTCTGCTCTTTCACTTTCTCGCTCTCTTCTTCTCACCCTTTCTTTCTTTTGCTCCCTTCTCTCTCATTTTCTATCTCTTAGTCTCTTTCTTTCTCATCCTGCTCCCTCTCTTTGTCCTCTCTCTTTCTCCTCTCTCTTTCTATCCCTCCTTTGCTCTTCCGCTCTTTCTCTCTCCTCACACTATTTCTTTCTCCCTCTTCTCCCACGTTTTCTCTCCGTCTCTTTCTTTCCGTCCCCGCTCTATCCAATTCTCTCCCTCTCTCTTTCTCTCCTCACTCTTCCCTCTCTCTCGCTCTCCCCTCTCCGCTGTTTCTCTTTCGTTCTATCCGTTTTATTGTCGTTCTTGTGTGGCGTTGCGGTCGGTCAGCACTTCTCAGGATTGATCTCGGTGTTTTTGCAGTGTTGCCGGATTGATTGCTTGGATTGGTTTTACAGTGCATTCTGAGCGAGCGGTGCGTTTAAGGTCTTCTTTTACAGTGGGATTTTCTGCTGATGGGGCTGCTCTGTTGGCGCACACAGATACACACAGACACACACAAACACACACAGAGACACGCACACAGAGATACAGAGAGACAGTCTGTTAAAACCAATCATTGTATTTCGAGTGTCAGAGGAAAAGATGCTCAAAGTAACTGTTCCTGAATGCACTCTCCTCTACACAGCAGGTTTAAAGAATCACTATGGAACTTTTCTAGGGGAGGGTCCATAGATATATAGAATGGTAGATCTAGCGTTCAGCCTTGTGGCATGATAATACTGCTGCCATCTTGGTACTGGGCTTCAGTGGTCTAAGGTAAAGATTTTCACAGTATCAGCGAGCAAAGATGCTGGACTTATGTGCCGCATACAAAAAGACAAAAGAGCAAGGCAATAACATTTCATAGATTTTGTTTTGTAGGACTGTGATACTAAATGTTTGTTTTGAACCCAGATTGAACTAGGACTGAACCAAGACTGAGATAGAGACAGAGAGAGAGAGAGACAGAGAGAGAGAAAGAAGGAGCGAGAGACCTGAGCCCGTGGAGCAAGGTGTCCGCAAAATGAGATTGAGTGACGGCTGTGCTTAGCCCCGTGGAACTCTGCCCGCAGTCACCCGACTGTCTATGCGGGCACATCTCCAGGCCGTCCCGACACTCAGAAGCCTGGCCCGGGCTCCCCCCCTGCAATATAACTTAGCCAGAACCCAAAGTTATTTTTCAGAAAGCAAATGAGGTGTTCTGATAGGACATGCATATGCACCAAGGCTAATGCTGTTTCAGTATTTCATTTAGTTGAATTGTTGAACCTTTTAATAGTTTCTTAAGTCTATATCAGGCATGTCCAAACTATGACCCGGAGGCCAAATGTGGCCCTCAGACAAATTTTTCTTGGCCCTCTGGCTTCCAGGTGAATTAGCCCAAATTACCTTGCATCAAGTTTTTTGAAAATCTACCTTGATAAAGCCAATATTTAATATTTAATGTGTGATTTTAAGGATCTTAGCATGAATAAAGACTGGTGGATTTATTGAATTAGTATTATTGTATAATTGTTACATTACACTATTCATTTCAAGTTAATATTGGTTGCGCTATAGTGCTACTGGTCTGTGGGAAACACTGCTATCACCTTGTGCCTGATTGATGTTCATTCATTTAAAGCAGTGATACCCAGTACCAAGATGGTGGCTTTGCTGACACATTCGTTCCAATATTCAGCGGTAATCAATGCGAGATCTACTATTCTAAGCGTCTATCATCTACTTGTCTCCATGGAGACAAGTAGATGATAGCGGCTAAAATATTCTACAGGAAGGCATTGAACTAATCTATCTTGTATTTATTCAATTGCAGGTGTTTTTATTACTATAAAAGACCATGAAAAACATGTATTGTTTCTGTGAGCGGGGTCACCTCTCCACAGATCTGACATGTAACTTGGTGTGCTTGTTTGTATGTTGAGAGATAGGTTTAATGCCATACTGTGGAACATTCCAGGCAAAGTAATAACGTCTTCATGGAAACGTTCTTGTTTCTTATAATGAGTTTGTTATTCTGACCCTGCCCAATCCGTGTCGTCCCCACAGGAAGTCCAGTGTGGTTCTACATGCAAGTGGCTCCCATCAGAAACGAGAACGACAAAGTGGTTCTGTTCCTCTGCACCTTTAAAGACATCACCCTGTTCAAGCAGCCAATCGAGGACGAGAACACCAAAGGTAACAACTACTACTACTATTACTATAAGTACTGCTACTACTACTACAACTACTACTACTATTATTATAACTACTGCTACTACTGCTACTACTACTATTATTATAACTACTGCTACTACTATTACTATAAATACTACTACTACTACTACTACTATTACTATAAGTACTACTACTACTACTACTACTACTACTACTATTACTACTACTACTACTGCTACTACTACTTACTACTGCAACTACTACTACTACTGCTACTGCTACTACTAATGCCTACTACTACTACTACTACTACCTGCTACTCTGCTACTACTGCTACTACTACTACTACTACTACTACTACTACTACTACTACTACTACTACTACTACTACTACTGCTACTGCTACTGCTACTACTACTACTACTACTACTACTACTGCTGCTGCTACTACTGCTACTGCTGCTAATATTACTACTACTTCTACTACCTACCGCTACTGTTGCTACTGCTGCTACTACTGCAACATGCAGTACTGTATGCACTACTGTATTGATTTGATGAAAACAAGTGTTTTTATTTGACAGTAAAAACACTCTTCTCGTGTACATAAAACTGCGTTTGAAGGTGAAGTGTCTTTATCAATCAGTGACACGTGCTGATGGCAGCACAGAGCAGTACTGCAGTAGCGTGTACTGTAGAGTTTTATAGTACATGAAGTTCAGCCTGTGGGTTTAAAGGACCTTTGACTGCTCCAAGTGACAATAATCTAACATCACAACACATCTGGACGTGTTTGTATCACTCAACATCAGATGGACAGTGTGAAAGGAAATGTACTATTTACTTTTCATTGAGATTTAATGTTTGTGCACTTTGTTTTTACTGTTTTAAAAAGGTGAAAAACAGAAGTAGTTCATTGTAAACAGTTTGCAGTGCAAGTTCTTCCTCACTGGCCTTATGTTATTCACCACGATGAGTTTATAACTGAACATTTTTCACATATTTTGCCCAAATGTCAGATGCCCTCCCAGACATTGTGGTGTGTCAGATGCCCTCCCAGATGTAATCGTGTGTCACATGACCTCACAGATCTCACTGGAAGGAGGAGGACAGGGTTAAAGGTCAAACGTGGCCACAGGAGATTGTCTCGTGAGCGCTGGAATTTACGATACAAACTCTAAATGCAACATGACACACCCTAAAGCGTTTTATTGTCTGATATTCAGGAAGGGCACATTTGAATTCTAGTTGGTGTTAGCGTTACCATAATGCACCAAATATAAAGTCATCAGATGTTTGTCTCATGCACCACGGGATAAACAAGAAGAAAACTTGACCAATTCTGACCTGTTCTCCAGCTCATTTGAAACTATGATGAGTGACACAACACAAACCTGACCCAGCAAATTCTAAATGAATGAACGAAGACATGAATAGATAAAAAGATAACTAGAGAGATAGTGTCTTGCATAAGGACACAAAACAGAATAATAGAATACAGGAGCAGGGAGCTGGGCTTTGGTCCTTGTTTAAGCCTCAGGTCTCGAGTCGCTGAGCTGTGAGACTCTTTTATCGACCTGTCCTCTCATCCTCTCTCCTCATCCTCTTTATCCTCCTCCCCTTTTCCTCTCACCCCATCTCTCCCTTTCTTTATCCCTCTCTCTCCTTTCTCTTTCTCTCTCCCTTCTCTCTTTCTCCCTTGTCTACCACATCTACTCTTCTCTCTCCTATCCGACATTTTCCTCACTTGTGTCTTTTTCTCTCTCTTTCTCTCTCTTTACACTATTCCCTCTCTTTTCCTCTCTCTCCCTTCTTACCCCCTCTTGATCCCCCTATTCTCTCTCTCTCTCTCTCTCGCTCTCTGTCCCCATGCTCTCTTCTATATGCTCTTTCTTTCTTTCTTTCTTTCTTTCTCTCTCTCTCCCCTACTCTATTCCTCTTCTTCTTCTTCTTCTTCTTCTTCTTCTTCACTTTTCTCCCCTACCTTATTCCCCCCTCCTTTTTTGCTCCTCTCCTCGACCTCTTCTCTTTCCTTCTCCCTCTCTCTCTCTCTCTCTCTTTCTCTCTCTCTCTTCCTCCCCCTTTCTCTCTCTTTCTCTCTTGTCTACCACATCTACCCCTCTCTCTCCTATTTGACATTTTTGTCTCTCTTTTTCGCTCTTTCTCCCTTCTCTCTCAATACTCTATTCCTTCTCTTCTCCTCTTTCTTTCTCCCTACCCCCTCTCTTCCTATTCTCTCTTCTCTCTCTCTTCCCATGCTCTCTTCTATATGCTCCTTCTTTCTTTCTCTCTCTCTCTCTTCTCTACTATATTCCCTCACTCTTCTTCTTCACTTCTCCCCTCTCCTTACTCCCCTCTCCCTTTCTCTCCTCTCCCTCTTCTCTCGCCCCACGTTTTCCCCTCTCTTCTCCTCTCTCTCTCTTCCTGTCCCTTTCTCTCTCTTTCTCCCTCCTCTCTCCCCACACTATTCCCTCTCTTCTCCTCTGTGTCTCTTCCTGTCCCTCTCTCTCTCTCTTTCTCCTTCCTTACTCCCTCTTTCCCTATTCTCTGTTTCTTTCTCTCCCCCCATACTCTCTTCTATATGCTCTTTCTCCCTTTCTTTTTCACACTTCTCTCCCCCTCTCTCTCTCTCTCTCTTTCTCTCCTGTCCCCTCCCTCTCCCCCCTGAGGTCCTGGTGCATTATGGGTCGCGTATAGAGGGATATAAGTTTAAAATGGCCGTACGCTTCAGTGGAGGTGAACAGAGCTCCACTTCAGGCTCAGAACGCAGACAAAGACTGAGTCATGTCGTCTATATGGGAGCGTATGGAGGTCTATGGTCTTTTGTTAGTCTGTTTAGAAATTTCATCATATTCCTCATGGCATAAAATGTATGTGTCGGTATAGAAAATATAAGTATGGTTTTAACTTTCTGTTTCCATGTTCTCTTCACTTCCCTTACACGGCAAATTTCCCTGATCTGGCCAAGATTTTAAAACTTCTATCAGATTATTCATATTGTTTTCAGTTTTATCTACTTACTCGTTCTAAGCTGCTTCATTATTTTAAGAGAACTTGTCAAGTAAAATGATTTTGCTGCATGGACAGATCATTTCACTCCTTTTTCAGTCATTTTCTGATCGATTTAAGTGTTTAAATCTCACATTTTGGTCAAGCTTTTTTTTTCTTTGAATGCATTAAGAGCATTCTAATGATTCAACATGATGAGTAAAAAAATGCTTTTTTTTACAACAACGTTCAGCATTTCACTGTAATGCTGACAACAACTAACATGCTAACCGTGCACTTAGAGTACTGATTCTCAGACAATGAAATATGTAATTCGATGCAGACAGTACACAGTGGACTTGTTTCGATCTTTAGAGCTGCTTGTATCTGTACTCTGGTAAGTTGGGCTGTAACAGTACATGTATTTGTGCTGAACAGTTTTAGTACAGGATGTTCTGTTGGGTGCAGGGCTGTGCTCGCGCGAGTGAGTTTGTGCAGTTTGTGTGTTTACATTCGGCCATTACATGTGCAGCTACACAGAGGCTCAGATCTTTAATATTCACGAGAGAACTCATCTGTGATTGAGGCAGAGTGTCTCACAGCGCTTTATAGTTAGGACGGTCACCTTGACAACAATTGCCCCTCACCTTGACTATGTCCCTCGGAGCCACGGGAATCCTCGCAAAACTACTGTCGTTGCCTTTCGCTGACACAGAACAGCAAAAGTGTATTTACAGTCACTGGGGACGTTGTAACTGCAGCAGATCTGCACTTACTACAGACAAAGTGGACAAGTTGGTTTTTCAGGCCTAAAATATAAAGACTGAGTAAAACTTGTAAATAAAAGTAAAAGTAAAACTTTGTTTACTGTTTAAAAGGAATTTATTTTCATGATATTTCATACATTTGTTGCTTATTTGTACATATTTTTATTTAACTTATTAGTATTACCAAGCAGCACTTTTCATTTATTTTATTTTCCCATTTGTATAAATAAAAAAAAAATAAAAAAAATGTTGGTTTAATAAACATACAAATGGTTTTGCATTTTGTTCCATACTGTATCGAAAATGAACAGAACTGTGACCTCAAAACTGAGGTATGTACAGGAGTGTGATTTTTGTACTGTTACGCTCCTACTGGCAAGGCACATTTTGCTCAAAAATACATGGGGGGAAAATAGAGTACTGGACCATTTAAGTTTGTAATTATACCTGGATTAGAACAGAACCAAACAAACCAGGTTTATAATTGTAAATACATAAAATTCATGTTGAGTTTTGTCCACTTTGCGATGTGTTCACCCACATTGCTTAATATGAAAGTGGAGCGTATGAGTGATGGTGGTGGTCGAAGGGACCAATGGCAGAGACCGTCAGCTGCGCTTCTGTCAGTCTGCCCCAGGGCAGCTGTGGCTACAGTAGTAACTTCCTTTCACCAGGTCTGAAGTGAATGAATAATGCTCTGTAAAGCGTCTTTGTGACATATGTCTGAGAAAAGCTCTATATGAATAAAAACTTACTTACTTTTTAACAGAGATCTTTGTTAATGGTGCATTATGTAACTTTTTGGTTGGGGGTCCGTCACCTGCTTGTTTCCATGGATACATCATAATGCTGCTTGGAATGTTCCACAGTGTGACTTTAAACTTACATTTATCAAATTACAGGTGGTTAACTTGGTTTGGTCTGCATGAAGATAGAAACATTTAATTTAATGCCATACTGTGAAACATTCCAGATAAAGCAGTAACATTTCCATGAAGAAAAGCGTTTGATGGACCCATCACCAGAAAAGTTACACAATGCACCTTTAAACAGCCCCCCTGCTGAGTTGAGTTTGCACATACAGCGTTTCTATCACTGCTCTTGAACACATTTACCAGCCTTACATGTGTTTACCATCTGTGTGCAGTTAAAACTATGTTAACGTAAGCGAACCTGTCACCTCCACATGATACTATTACATAATCTCCTTTTGTTCATCTAAAGACTTCACTACGCAGCACTTTGAGAGGTAAATATGACAACAAAAGCTCCGATTGGGAAAGATAGTTCGCCTCCAGCAAATGGTTTAAACAGTACAGGAGAAAACGCACGGGCCAAAGCTAAAAATATCACACTTATATATAAAGAGAGACCAGGCTAAAACGAGAGGGAACACCAGAATACTATAATACAGATAGTTTTGGTTACTATGAGGTTCTATTTTTAGACACATTTTGGAACGTAATTATTTCAGATTACGGGGACCAAAAGAAATCCACGACAATGAAAAATAATGGGTTTATCAAATGAAATTGTCACCCTAAACAAAAACCCTAAAAATAATATGTTTCTTA